GGGTGTTCATTCAAAATGTATGCTTAAAAAGTGAAACTATGAAAAAATTTTTGGGTGTTCGTTAGGGATTACTATACTCAGCTCGACGAGCTCTATCGATTGCCTAACTCAGATTTTAATTTGGGGGCGTTCGTGGGTGTTCGCGTCTTTTAGCAATACCCCTTATTTTACCATATGGTACAAATGAAGAACAAAATTCCCATTGATTTTTCAGTTCTTTGAAAAACGGAAGAACACTTTTTTTAGAGTGTATGTTTGAGGTACTTAGATGTTATTTGAAGACTCTACTCTAGGCTCAGACTTTTCTACTCTACACAACCATGTCTATCCAATATCTACACGTTGTTTCAATATTTGAAACAATAACGCAGAGTAACGGCAGGTAAGAAGCAGAACTGTGACGCTCACTCAGAATTCTGAAGAATTTCCGACTTTTAAATAATCATTTTAGCAATAATGTAGAAACTGACGGAAGAGGGTAGGCATAGGAATGTTCAACAGATCCAGGACTATCTTTCTGACCAGATCGCTTTTATCACAGGATATCAAAACTTAAAAGGGTTTTCTTGCATAAGAAGAATCAGCCATTCCGAGTGGCGCAAAGTTTGACAAAGAGTAGAAAAAAAATAGTCAAAGAATGTGGAGTAAGTGCTTGACACGGTGGATTTTGTTGAACAGAAAATTTTGACCCATGGAAGGGATCTTGAAATCGTAAAGAAGGTCGAAAAAAATTAAATACAGTAATAATTTATGATTTTTGGATCCTTTATTATTAGTCACAAAACGTTACAAAAAATGCTATTTTTCAATGAGGATTAATTAAATGACGACGAAGATTTACAAAAAGTACCTTTGACAAATCGCTAATAGAAACATTATTTAATATTTAATTAGATGGAGTATCAAAAAAAATACAACCTGTTCCTTTCGTTGCAGTTCTGTTTCTTATCTGCCGCTACTCTGTGTTATTTTTTCAAACAACGAGACAACGTTTAACTCTCGGAAGTATCGATGCCATACTTTAAATCAGTGTGGCACTGAGGCCGGCACTTGCTGAGCATCGGTGTCAACTAATACCAGTAACCTACGGCATGGCATGCACACCCATGTACACTAGCAGTACCGTACTGACTTTTACCAGTGTTATACTGAAATTTCTTTTTACAGCTATTGTTATAAACTTTATTGTATAAGATGAGAAATATCATACAGTGTCCACGGGCAAGTGTTTTAGCACTTACGATAAGTAGACATCAAGTAATCAATAACACATATAAAATAATAGGCTACGACTAGAAAACAAGAAAACAATAAAAAGATTAGAAAAGGAAAAAACTTCAAGATATAACAGAACAGTAATAGAAATAGATGATAAAAATAAGATAAATATAAACGTTTAACACTAATTCACAATCGAAAGATGGAAAAATATATGACATGTATTATAAAAGGAAAGGAAACTACTTTGGCACAAAGCAGGTGGAATGAACAAAAAACTAAAATCTGAGTGCATTCAATATATATTTCAATTACTGCCTTATATATCATGATAAGATCGCGGGGAAAAAGATTCTATTTCAAAAGTATGACATTCAGTGTCTTGTTACCAGATGATTAATGTGTTTTTTTGTGAAAGATAAATCATCAAACATTTTGTCTCAAAACTTTGAGTTTACCCATTAAATCTGCAGTAAACAGCATAGTTTGGTATCTGCTAAGTCTTTTACAAGATTATCCAAGTTATTTTGCATGGGTGATTCTTTCGAGAACGTGCCAAGTTTACATCGACTTTGTCCGGATTGTTCGAGAGTAACAGGACTAGTATAACTCGGGCTCCTGATGACGAATATCACATTTAAAAAGCGGCATGGTGGTCTTCTAGACCTGTGGAAACCCCATTTCTCAGCAGAATAGCCCGTTTGTGGGCATTTTCACTATTTTTTAGTCAAACACTTTCATGAACTGGTACCGTCAGATTAGCTTCTATATGTGCAGAGCTATAAAATCACTAGCGGACAAAAAGTTTCAAAATGTTAAAGTACGTTCTCAGGAAAATGTTTAAAAAGGTCGTTTTTTCCGAAAAGTAGGCCTTTTTTGTAAACCATTTCTCCCCCATAAAATCACATCAACACAAGACCGCAGGTGTAGAAGACCACCATGCCGTTGTTTTAAATTTTTTTAAATGTGATATTCGTCATCAGGAGCCCGAGTTATACTAGTCCTGTTACTCTCGAACAATCCGGACAAAGTCGATGTAAACGTGGTACATTCTCGAAAGAATCATCCGTATGACAATGTCCTAAAATTTCTTCAATCATCATCATAATAAAAACATGTTGTTACTCTTAGCATCCAAAATCCGTGTGACCATATATTACGTGCAATCGTCTTTCTAACCAGTACTTATTCAAGAGAAAATATTCGACAAATTCATCAGTTACTGCTTTTACTCGATATATTTCATAATTAAATTAAACTTTCTTACTTTTTTTGTTGACGTACAAATCAATGCTTTCCATTTTTGACCATAAAAATATTTTTCATTACAGATAATCTTATCAACGATCAGTAATCGTGTTAGTGCGAGCATCAGTTTTAATAATTGTTCAACAATTTTAAACGATAAATTGAAAATATTTAATTTAAAACATGTTAAATATTGTAAGTGAACAAGACGATGGTCAAATGTACTGTTCATCTGAAAACATTGTTTTACATTTAAAGATCGTATGTATATTAGGCACATATAAAATTAAACTAAATTGTTCAATATACAAAAACCAACTGTTAAATATTCGATTGTTGATAATAATCGATTGTTTAAGAATTTTAATGTTGGAATTTGAAATAATAAAATTGAAAACAAACTTTTACAGCTAAAATATTCAATTTTTGATCTTATACAAATATTCATTTCCACTCTTAAATTTTGAAGTTTTACTGATTTTGGTTGAAAATAATATTCCACAATATTTTCATTCATATTAGATCGTATCAACGAACGAAGATTAACACATCTGTTAAAACTAAATTTATCACTATTAGAAGTATTAAAGTCGACATGATGCAGTTCGAGTCCGATAAATTGATATTGATATTAAGGCAGTATACATTGACGATAGAGAGTATATTCATTTTGAGGAACAAGAGAAGATTTTGAATAAAGTTGTAAATGAATGTTGTCAATTATCTGATTGAGATGATAATTTTGATTAGAAAAACGATTTGTGTATATGATAAATATCGATATATTCCATTATTTTCAAGAGCACATCATCAACTAAATTACTCATTTATTTATGATTACTTAGTCACCCTCACCCACAAACGCATGATAGAATATATTCAACTGTTGTTACAAAACAGTTCAAAAGAATAAATAAATAATATAAATCTTTTATTATTTAAATAGACATTGAACGTTATATTGTTGAAAAAGTTTATTCAACAAAAAATGAATTTGATCGACTGTATATCACATACTTTGTTCCATCAAAACTGTTGAAGAAACAAAATATTCTAATGTTAATATTAAACCATCTAAACTAAAGTCTGATGAACACATCTAATTAATGTTAATGAATTTGAGCCTGTTAGGTATCATAACAAAAATAATCATCATTTAATGCGAGTGACATTGTCTGATGAAATAAAAGTGGAACGAGATATTGAAAATAATCATTTACCATATGGTACAATGTTTGAATCAAATATCGGGCAAATTCGGCCATCGTCTAATATTTGATTGATATATATCAAGACTGTACGCCAGCAATATATGTTTCGAATCGTTCAAATATTCATGTTCAAACTTTATCATTAGCATCTTTTAAATAGATGACATGACTATTTTACTTTTATAATTTGAAATTGGAAATTAAAAGTTTACCGAATGAAACTAAAAATTTCAACACATAAAATTTTCGTACAACACAGTTTAACTATGACACGTGAATTAAGTTTCATAAACATCTCCATGTAGCTAAAAGAGATTTAAATGTTACTAGTCTGATATAAACAGCTTAAATGTGGCTACAATATGGCAATCATACGAGGTTTGCTGTGAACTGAGAAGTTTTAACGAAAAAGGGAGTATAAGACTGCTGCGAGGATTAACATCTTAACAAAATCCATTAATGTTTGTTTATTTATACATCACGCAAAAAGTAATATACTTAATCAACAATGGCTGATATCTCACACTTGTATCTCATGTTTTTAGGTTTCTTTATGTCGAAGGTGTTACTATGTCAAGCATAATTTCACTGTAGGAAAGATTGTTGTTAAACAAACCATTGGAATACTAATGGGCACAGATCCCGGGTCCCTTTTAACAAATTTATTCTGGTACAATCAGAATTTGAATTTTTGGATAAAAATACACAAAAATTGTATTCAACATGCAGATCATTAAATAACATCTTTCGCTACATTGATGATCTAATTACAATAAATTCTGATGATAAATTCAGTCTGCATCAAATGTCCATATATCCATCGCAACTGACGTTGAACAGAGAAAATGTGAGCGATCAAACCGCTACATTCCTAGATTTTGAAATGACTATCGTTAGTGATATAATACAAATTAAACCGTATGATAAAAGAACAAAATTCGGTTTTTGAAGTGTAAATTATCTGGATTTGAATGGAAAGTTTCCGAAAACGATGGGTTATGGTGTAGTTATAGGACAAATGCTTCGACTGTCAAAAACATGCATGGATTATAACAGTTTTAGAAAAACTTTTAGGGACATGTACAAGAAACTGCTAGGGCAAGGATATGTTTCACAGAACTTGCTCTAAACACATTCAAAAAGTTCTTTCAAAAATCTGGTGCTAACATCAAGTTTAAATGTACCGCCAAACAATTAATTAAGGATTTATTGAAATATTGGCATCTACTGGCCTTATAATCCATACGGATTTTTGATTTTTTGATACTAATCTAATGTTTTATTAATCCACAAAATACTTAACATCTGAACATCAATTCCAGCAGTAACGACCTTTAAAATATTCTTAAAATAATATTATACATGCATACAGCATTAGCTATTTCAGTTAGCTAATGGAGCGCCAGAGATAACATCATGATCGTATTAGAATGAAAGCACCGAAACGATCTTTCTGGTTTCTAGCTGAAGAGCTGGCATTTTGTATATGAACTTATTTTAGAACATGTGCCTTTTTCATGATATCCTAGCTTTTTTTTGCCAAAATCACATTGATTGATTGTTTAATTGCATTTTAAATCAACATTATTTTGTATAAGAGTAAGTATCGAGCATTGTCGGTTTATTAGGTAAATAAAATTCTTCACAATAGGAATAACAACATTAAGTTAACTAACCAAAAAGGGAGTATAAGACTCAGATTTTAACAAAATACATCATTCTTTGTTTAGTTTGTGCGTCACGCAAAAAGAATTGTTTTGCAGATATATAAAAGTAATTAATAAACATGGAGTGCGAAATGGATATTTGTAAAAGACGACAACATCCACCAACATCGACAAAAATAGCCAGATGACCTGAAACTTAGACTCATAACAAGACAATCCTACACCAACACCTAGTTGGACTTACATTTGAGGCACTTGAAATGGAGTACTATCACCAACACACCATCCACACCCAAATGGAGGGGTATTTATACCCGCTGGTCTACTTCAGAGTATTCAAAAGACATCACTCCTCTAGTCGCGAATCCCCAAAAATGTCTCAGGTGACTCTCAGCTGAGTTCCACTACCGACTCCCTACGGCGTTTCCAGGGAAGCCCTGGACCTTCTGCATGAGATGTAAGATTGTGTGTTCGAATCTCAGTAGTATCGTTACTTTTCAAATTAGTCCTCTAGTGAAATATATTCTACACAAACAAAATAGTTTTATACAAAACAAAGTTCTCGAAGGAAAAATGAGATTTTCCGCATAGCATGAGAAAAATTATATAAAAAGATGAAAAAAGAATTTAAATCTCATTTGGTCTTTGTTTAAATCAAAAACTTTCATACAATAAATTTCATTTCTCAAAAACAGCGTTTGAGTAACAAGACAACAGTGGTCAGTAGTTCTATCGATATTCATACGAATGACGTATTCACGGTTCGCAACATTTTTCATCAAGAAAACTGTTCTTCAACGAATATATCCCAGAAAAAATGGAAATGTACCAGTAATTTAGGCGCCCAGTTCATTCATAACTGGATCTAGTTGTTCTGTCTGTTCTTTACCGACCATTTCATGTTCATTTTCAGTTGCCGCATATTTCATTACAATTTTACTTTGAGGTTTCTGTTTCGATAATGTTCCTCACCAGTTTTCTGTGTGCTGATGATATCAAATGTGTAGACGAGGTTTGGGAACGTAGTGGTGAAACGTTAGCGATTGTTTATGGACTGCTGTGTTCTAAAAATCTTTTTGAAATAGGACGAACCGTTTCCATAAAGATGAGGACTATCAGAACGTTAACTATTTTTAGTAATTTTTCTACTCCTTTTAAGCCTTAAAATGTTTAACGATGAAATGTTAACGATGATCGTCCAAATACATCATGTAGTTGTGATCCAAAACCGTTCATGGCGTTAACTATACTGTTCAGAGTGTGCTCAATATTATCGAGTCGTTCACTTACGAGGAAAATAAAGATCAAACATTTCCTGGTTGATTATATTAAATACTAACCGGCACACTACGTTGCTGCTGAACTCGTGAGTGAAGAGGAAGAGATAGCTAATGGTGGTATGATTCCATCAAACTCAGGTCTCTGATCTCAAATATCTATATACAAATGCAAAGTTCTACTAAATTTCTAGTTGAACTAAATTTGGTATTTTATAGTCAGGTTTTCACGAAGAATCAGAAAAGCAATAGTGTAGAAATTTGAAAAAAATAATAAAGCGAAAAGTCTACTTATCCACGTTGAATGTAAAATACTTGTTAATATGAAAATGTATTTTGTAGTAAACTATTTTTACACAGTTACAGTACACATTAAAAGAATATATAACAAATGATTTTAAATCAGCTGAATCAAAACAACAACAGCTGAATGTAGTTTTTTCCATTAAAAAAGAATACGTTGAACTTAATTTTGAATATTATTGGAAGACAAAGCGCAAGTTTTTATATTTCTCTGGATAGCACAATATTAACATGATATAAACGGTCGATGTTCGTTAATTTTTTAAAAAACTTTATTCTTTAACAAAACTATTGAAATAAAGTCAGAATAAACTATTTTGACAATTTATTCGGCCGTTTGTACTACTCAAAACTTTCTTGAAAGTTCACATTCAAAATAGTTAAAATGGGTAATTACGGAAAGTAACATCGATACATCGAAATATGCAGGAATAATGTTAAATGCAGGACTATGTTGGTTGATGAGAAATATTTTAAGGAAAAAACCCCTCCAAGACATCACGACAATAATTTATATATGGGTTATTTAACAAATCATGTTTGGTCTTCTGCCTACAACGATAGAACATATCAAAACTCGCCGTTGTTGCATTGTGTTTTTCATCAACGGACAGTATCAGCCTAAATGAGATATTTATCTTATAAATCTCTTAAAATCTACTTAAATGGAAGTTTTAGAACTACTATCACATAGAAAAGTTGCTAAGGAAGTAAACGGTAATGGCAAAAATAAATTTCATGTTCATCTACTACTTGTATACCAATTCATCATAAAACGACCAACATTACTCACATTCTGCTTGTTTCGAGATTCGTGAACATACAAAACATTCCTAACTATCAACTTCATCATTTAACAACTACAAATTTTTTTATAGTTTATAGTCTGTTGCTGATTACAATAAACACAAGTCTTCATATCATATAGTGTCTTGCTTTTTTTTCATAATATCATCTTTTTATTTTATACAAAAGAAAAAACAAAAAAAAAATCCAACAAGTAAGAGAAAAATACAAAAAAATGTTTTCGAGGCAGTCAAAAAATGAAATATACAATAATGCTTTCACTTATCAAAGAACAAACAGCAAGAGCGAGAATTTGCGCAGTAGTCAAAAATCTATATATAACGACAACAAGAACAACAACAAATGAATCACAACAAGATAATAATCATCAAGCATGCATAGGGCAATATGCCCAAATACACTAATACATACTGTACAAAAACACAGACGACCACCAAAAAAAAACAACTACAATAAAACGAAATAATAGGGAGACATTCAAAAATGATTAGCATCACGAGCGGGGAGAGGGGGTGAAAAACACAAGTCTTTTAAGATTTCAATACTGAACAGAGAGTTAAAGGAATTCTGTTGATAAACGAGATGTATTTCTAATGATCGGCATAAAGTTTACTCATTCAACTCCGTACATGATCTGTACACATTATTGATGAATGTAACTTAAGGCACACGCTGTGAAGGCTTTTTAATTCCTCTCTTCGTTCTTAGCTCTCCCATTAACATCCGGAATGTCTTTTGTTTCGTTTTCGAGCCTAATTTTGAGTATCTGACATTTTGTACGTGAGGGTAGGTAGAGTAGAGGAATGCTGGTGATTAGTTAGAAAAAGGCTACTTTGGCGCGCAGTAGTAGCATACAGAGATAAAACAAACAAGACAACAACAAAAAATAAAAAAAATTTTCCAGTTTTATACATGTGTATTGCACAAAAATCAAAGCATAAACAAAAAATTTGGGTCATAATATGCTGGATATCACTGTGTCTATATGTGTTGAGAAAAAAAAAATATGTATGT